TATTTGTAGGGTAATGACAGTGCATCCACTATACATTGCAAGGTATATTAGCTAATTAATGAGCTGTATAATTCATTGAAGCACATCACAGAGCAACTCCACTGAAAGCAAGTATGCAAGCAACACTCAGCAAAAGCTAATACTACATCTTGCTACTCTGACTGGATTGGCCTCTGAATTACAGTATTACTGAATGGCTTCAGCAACCTGTCAGCACTGTGTTTGAGCACCCAGAACCAAATACACATAAAGGTATTCCTTTAATTAATTATCTGTAATCAGTTAGTGAAACTTGCATAAAACTCTTCACAGTCATATTTATTGCTCAGCAAAATCCTCCTTTGTGATGCTAAGTCTCAGAGTAACCAAACATGGAGGTTGTCTGCCTGTCTAGCTCCCTTTTCCCATCCTAGCTATGAACTCCACTTTCCAATTTAAAGGCAGAGATTCTGTAGATTAGAATAATGTTTTTTATGATACATAAAAAATTCATTCTGTAGGCTGAAACTAGTTACAGAGAAATTCTGCTCAGCTGAACAGAAGTAGGATTAAGATCATTGATGATGAGGGGCAGCACAAGGATAGTAGAGTTTCAGGTGGATAAATAAATCCAGGTCAAGTATTTTATAAAAGCAGACCGAGTGTGACAGCACTACTAAGTTCAACAGAAAATGTGATGAGCTTTGCAGTGTGGGTTTGAAGCAATCCCTGTGAGAAGTACAAATGCTCTCAACTCCTGGTAGCATTAGACACACATAAAACTGATTTAGTGGTCCATAAGCATACTTTTAATGTAAACACTATTTCATGTCATCAATCCATTATGGCATGTGAGCTAACTCAGGGGTGTGTAACGCATAGCGGACTGCAATAATACTTTTGACTTCCTTTAGAATTATTGTACTTCTCATGCCCAAAAGACTGTCAAGCCTTTCACCAAAGCAGAGCTTAGCAAATAATGTTTAAGAATACCACGTGCTATATCTGCAAACTACAATAGTATGCAGTACAAGGATGAGCCAACTTCTTCAATCAGCTGGTCCATGTGTAGCAGTATATAAATTCTAGCATGCTATTAGAAAGGGTACCATGTTGCAAGTATGTGCTTGTGTATTTCTATGTTAAAGATGGAGTGATAAAAGCCATACAAAGCAATTAGTCTTTGCTGGACTGTACTATGTTTGTTTTTTTGTTATGTTTATTGGGTGAGGGTGGAGGCATATGTCCCAGCATCCTCATTCCTGTCCTTGGTCTGCAGAGCAGTAGAGGGCCTGTGGAATATTGGTCATTGTGGAACTAAGGTTAGTTGGAAGATTTCACAGAGTTTCCTTAGTAGTTGAAATGCTTGTGATTCAGAGAGATACAAATGGGACAGAATATCAGCACAGCTTTCTTTGCAAATACACGACATGTTAAATGCAATGACTTTTGCAGATAGTGCACATGCAATCTAACCTAAACCTCCTGCCCCACCATACTCTTGCTGCTGCAGAGTCAGCGTTATGTACCAAGTTATACTACTCAGAAAAACCCTTCAAAACAAAGCAAAGACTTCTCTGACTTCATAACAAGAAAAGAAAAATGCTTGAGGAAATTTCTGTAACATATACCTTGCCAAAAGTTCTGAAGTCTCATCTCACGCTTATATATTTCTCATACTACATGACAGGCCTATTTACTCAGATGCCATTTTACCAATCAAGGTGTAAAATTGTTCTGATTTCTGGCTGTATTTAATTCAAATCTACCATTGTATTTACTCTCTCAATTAATTCTTTACAGCAAGAACTAAAAGTAATTTTCTGTTTATTCTTACTTCAAAGTCTGATTGCCAGAGTTGTGTTTTCAGATACGGACAGAAAAACACAAGGCAGGAAGGAACAGAAATTCTGCTTCACATATTTTGGGTATTTTAAAGGAAAGATTCAAATGTGGGTACCTGACTTCATTAGAGTGGAATAAGTAATTCACAGCAGTTAATTGATTTGGTTAATTCAGCCACTGTTTGTGCTTGACAAAGCTGCCAGATGCGATCTGTGATATTCAGGCTTTAAAATAGATTTGATGGGTTTTGTAATCCTCAAGTTCTCATATTGAGTTTCATATAAAACAAACAAACAAACAAACAAGCAAAACATAGGGAAAACAGGAAAGTGAGCATATTGCTTCAGACTCAACCACTGCTTCATAGCCTAGAGAAAGCTCTCAGGCACACAACTTATACAGAGTTTTGTCACCTATAAAATGAGGGATATTAAATGAACACTGTAGGCTGTCAGCATTTCAGGAAATCAGGCTGACTCTGTTTAACAATTTACTGTAAGGTATATCTATTTCCTACACTGTTTAAATCTACTTAGTCTACTCTGTGTGTTTGTGTCTATATACACACATACACAGAAAGAATATTCTGTCTTGTATTTTATGTATGCTATTAAGATCACTGCATGTTAGTCTCTAATTTTCTATTGGTACTTCAGTTGGTGTACTCAAATAGCTGCAGGCAGAAACTCTGAACTTAACTGCTTTGATACATTTGAAGCAAAGAATTATGATGAGTGTATATTAAAACAGATATCTGTACCAAACAATGCATCATCTTCTCACTGGGTAAATTCTCAATGATTGTTAGTAAGCCAGGTTTAGCCTAAAAAAACAACAAAACAAAACAAAACAAAAGGACAATAATGAATTGCTGGAGCTTTAGAAGTCGTTTCATCTTTTTTTGTGGTCACTTTGGTATGAATGTTGCTGAAGTAAGAAAGTGTTGACAGGAAAAAATCACTAATTGATGCCATGAAGCATTGTGTGAATTATCTGTATGGCTTGGAAATACTGGATACTGAGTTCACACTTTCTACTTGACAGCTATATAAAGGACATGAGTATATACATAATGCTATATTTAGGTAATTGCTTCATTCCTTCTGAAATCAAAAGCAGTATGACAAATTTTGTGACTCTTTGGCCAGCAGGTGCTCTGTAAAGAAGTAGACAGATAATGTTTGTTGTTCAGATCTTTCAAAATGAGTACTAACTAATTAAATATTCCTCAGCAATGAATTTGGTTAGTTGATGCTCTTCAGAGAGACCTGTTTCCTGTTATATTTGCTTTGATTATCCTGAAAATAAGGTGTACTTAACTGGTATTACATGGGTGAAACACTATACGCAGAAACCTTAAACATTAAGGAAGTTGTCCATCTGCTATTTATGTCACTGTTTACAATTAGGAAAGGAGAAACTTTACCAGACATTATTTTAAAATATGAATTTATTTTTTTCCACCCCAACAAAAATTATTTGCTGTATATAATCTCATAAACTTAGGTAGAGTTACAACAGGGATCAGCCAAACCATTTCTTAAGAAAAAAGTTGTTCTTTCTCCTCCTGCACTCACGCTGTGTTGTCAGGCAGCCATCTGGCTACAGGTCTTACATGCATGGCACCAAGGAGTCAGTGTTATGATACACCCTCTGAAAATGCATCATGCAGCACTTACATCAATTTAATCAATTTACCTCACGTTTGGTTGTGTTTTACTACTGAGACTTCTAACGGTTCAGTTTTTATACAATCATAAATGCTAGATTTTTATATTGCTGTAACAAATTTTTACTACTGCAGCTGTGACAAATGAAATGATGCAGCCTTATCTGCACATCCAAACTACAGTTTAGTAACTAGTGGACTCTGTGATCGCTTTCCATTTTGTTTAAACTAGATTGGTTGCATGAATGTAGAGGAGTCCAGGTTCCAAGCACAGCTATTTAAATGCATATTAAATCTACAGGATGTGGAAATACACCATCTTGTTAATTAAAGTATTTAAATAAGGGCAATTAAACTTGGCAGGAGGAAATGCAGCGTCATACAGAGAATGTAATTAGAATGGAAAACAAATTGCAGAAAAAACAGCATAAAAATCGGAAGCAGAATGTATAGATTTAAGCCTGCCAGTAATATTTTGTGGGCGTAAATCAAACTGCATCACAACAGATTATGAAGACCCATTGTTATTAATAAGATTTAGAAAATACTACCTCACAGAAAAATATATTCAAGCCCTGACTGAAACATGAAGAAGCTCTTTAAGATGTGATAACTGAAAATGAATTTCACTACAGCAAATGGTGATAAAACTAAGAAAATTGAAGCAGGCTTTGGATAGAATACGTTACCTAGACTGGAAAGATCTTTAAAGATTTTTCAGAAAGTAATCACGTATCTTTTTTGTCAGTAGTGGCCAGGAAATCTTTATAAATAGGTGGCAGAAACACTAACTGTAGGTATTTATTTATTTTTTTAAACACAGGAAAGTGTTGAATAATTAATGAAAAATAATAAAAAAGGGGATGGTTAAAAAACAGTCTTAATAATTGCAGCAAAATGCAGATTTTATAGCTGAAAATAGTTTGGCTCGGTTTTGGCAACAACTCCCAGTGATGATACATTGCATTGATCTTTAGATAGTTGGGATTATCTAATAAGAGTGTAGAAAAGGAAGAGTTAGCCTTATGCTATTCTATTGATAATGAAGAGCATCACATCTCTGAATACAGCTGCTGTCCTGAGTAACAAGCTGATAGGACAATTCACTTAGAAATAAATTGGATGCCTTTTTGAGAGCTGACAGTCATAAAAGCTGAAGGCAGTCAGCTCCAGGAGTGGTGGGACATGTTGACATCTGCTGAAGGGTGAGGAATTTAAAAATATACTAAATGAAGTAAAAAATAGATTTTTTTTTTTAGTATGTAAATGAAAATGGTGGTATCTGATGTCCGTGCTGGAAAGTATGAATGGCTGTGGGAACCTGGTGAATAACCTCTCTAAGGAAAAATGACTGTTAGAACTAATAATGTGCAACTATTGTGACTTCTGTGAATTTAGGAAACCTGTCGAATTAATTGCCACAGGCATCAAAGTTCAGTGACTGACTAGACTTTAATGGTCTGGGTTACTTTTACTTTTAAGAGCACTGATAAAAACATTTTTATAGGCACAAAGAGATCATCGTTTGGATAAAACAAATGGGAGCCTTCATGAAGGGAGCGCAACAGGGATCAGAAGTAACTCCCCCTTACGGTGCTACAGTGAGCCTCTGTCTCTGAAGAGAGTTCTTTTCTGGGAAACAGCAAGCATTGATCATTGCTGGAGGCAGTTTGCTGGACAAGGTAATTAATCTCGTTAATTAATTTTCTGATCTCTGATGTGTATTTCTAGGCTCTGCCCTTTTGTTCAATTTTGAAGAATTCATCATTTGCATAGATGTTGCTTTCTAAGGCTCTTTCCATGTTGCTAACTTGTGGAAAATGCTTGGTAACATCTCTTCCCTCCCAGTTACTGAGTGTGCACAAGATGCAGTGTGAGGTTGCTAATGGAAAAAACCCTTTCACAGCATGCAACTGAAGGTCATGCCTAGGAGCACCTCACTGCCTCGTTTTTTCTCCATTTCTCCATGTGGATGAAAATGTCCTAACAGCATAAAAAGAAAATAATGTCAAGATGAAAAGTTCACATTACTACCACTAGCCTTAGCATAGGGAGATAACTAGTTAATCATCACAGACCAAATGAGAAATTCAACACTGTTAGAAACCCCCAAGATTTTTTATCTTTTCCCTAAGAAACAGATGTTTGCCCTAGGCAATGTGCTGGGATGCCTGTGATTTAGAGTTATTAAAACAGGAGAAAAATGAATTCCTGTTTTTTTCTTTTAATTTTTAAGATGCAATTCTTACTCAAATACGACCCGTTCAGGGAAAAAAAAATAAATAATAATAAAAAAAATATTGAATGAAATTTTATTTTCTTTAGGGTTGGTGGTATTTCACTGGTCTGGGTTTTCTAATGTGAATCCACAGTGTCCAGGGCTTTGTAACTCATTTCTACCCAGAAACTGAACTGTTTGCATTGTCATTATATGCTTATAATTAAACCAATATCTAGAAACCAGGAAATAAATTGAGTGCCAAGTGAAGAAAATTAAGAAATTAATTTACACTAGTGTTTCAATTGATCTGTGCATTCTAACATGGGAACTTACGTTGGGCTCCTGGGACCTTCAGTTACAATATGTGGTTATTGGAAATAGCCTTTTCCTTAGTTTCTACAGAATGCTGTAAGCTGATTAGAATTGATACTGGGATGGGAATTTCCTTGCTGTTGCAGTGCAGACCTTGCACAGTTTGCTCAGACAATAATGGAAATAATGCTTTTTTGTCTGTTATGTTATTGATTGTCTTGGTGGTTTGATCATCTAACTAGGTAACTAACAAGCCCTGTTTTCTTGTCATATATCATCAGTGCACTCTAAGTTAATTGATTACTTAAAAAAATGTTTACTAAAGTATTTTCCTTATTTTCATCTTTAATTGGATTGTAGGATGTTGTCTGGTAACCAAAGTTACTTACATTCCATTGGAATTCAAGATGCAACTTCTACTGATTTCATCAGAGTGGAGCTTTGTTTTTGCCTGGGAAGTTTGAGAAATGTATGTATTCTAAAGAATAATATCTGTGTCTCACAGCTGACAAAAGTAGAACCCCAGAAAGCAGGAAGTGATTGGTTCAATAATGCAGAGGAAGAATCTAGAATGGAGATCAGACCCCATGAAATCCAGCCACTTTGCTGGGTAAGTCTGTGTTGGTTATCAGTAAAATTGTAGAAGGCATTAGAAACTTGATCTTTCTCTTGCACGTCTGTAATGGACCTTGCTGAGACCTTCTGCATTTTTTAGAGAGCCTATCTGGATGCCAGAAACTAGGAATATTGGGTTGGACTAGAACAAATAATTTCTTGGTAAATAACAGTGCTGTTGAATATTAACATGCTAAATATGCAAATAGGCTATCTGTTTTCAAGGAAAAACACAGTATGTGTTAGCTTTCTTTTAAATTAATTCAGCCCAAGCATCTTCAGAGCTTAAATGGAGTCCTCAGGAGAGTAAATACTGCATAATGCGATACGCTGGAAAAGACTTGAAATGCACCTACTAAAAGCTCCTTTTACTGTTGCAGTCACAAAAACTTCTGACTGGCAAGTTCTACACCTGATTTGCAAAGACTACAGCTTGCTGCTGGAAGATTACTCCAAATAGAAAGCTAAATATAAAGAAACAAAACCTTTGCTGTTAACTGCATCAACACCGCAAGGAGATTTAATACCATTTACTAAAACACAACATTTTATATATTTTTTTCTGAATGTGATTTTTTAGCCTATACATTTCTGTATTGTAGCTGAAATCAAGGATTCAGAATACTTTCAGGTTTTTATATTTCTGAATAATTATATTCTGCATAAATAGGACTAAAGAGTTTTTAGGGTTATAGCAAGACATAACCCAAGAAGTCTTATCTTAGTCTGTTGGTTTAGTTAATTAAATAATTTAAGCTTCTGTTTTTCGTTATCTCTCCTGCAATAACAAACTCTTTTGTTTTTTAAATAAGATCACAATCACTTTGTGTCCTGAGCTGCCAGGCAGTTACCACTGCATAATTATATAGCTGCACAGTAATACAGCATGTCTTAATACGGCAAATACAAATTGAGTGTATTTGCATCCTGCGGGGTTTTGAAGTACAGAAGAAATTTAAATTCTTGATAAATTAATCATTTTGTTTTCTATCACATAGCCCTGATAATGGAAAAATCTGAAGAATTTCTGAGGAGTATTTGTTTCCCTAGATACAGCTCTACTGCTGTTAATCCCTGCTGTACAAAGACTTGTCCTTGACTAATACATATAGATTGAAAACTGGGAGTGGACATCGGAAGAAAACTGTGAACTGTTTAACATCATTAGCTCCTACTTCATAAACTAAGAAAGGGGGCATATAAAATATGAACTAAGCAGATGCTGTACATAAGCCTCCCATTTAATTCTGCACGCAGTCTGTACTCAGCATTGTTTCAGATGGGGTTGTGGGTAATGATTCTAGCTAGTGGTAGTATTGCACATCTTCTTATGTCATGAGATAAAGGCAAGCAAGAAAATGGAGAAAAGCTATCCAGAAAATGCCAACATCTGTAGGATGAACAAGATGGAAACACTTTCAGTAATTTTAAGGCACGTTATTTCTTTACAGAGCTACACTGAATATCTATTTAATCTATAGAATTTCTATTATCTGTTTAACATCTATTTAAATATGATGTGGAATGCTGTAACAATTGAGTAAATCATTTGCTCCCTTCTATCTTCTATTTGTCTTCCCACTATAACTTTTGAAAATTACATACATGGTAACTACAGTTGTCAGACACAAATTTTACTTACAGCCTCTCAAGATGGTATAAACCACCTTCTCTGAACACTTCTGAAGGGGATGATTTTCTGCAGAATCCATTTTGCACTGCCTGGAATTGCACTTCTTCATTACACGTAAAAGCAATGCAAGTATTGCAGGAAGTTGTAACTTCTAGTGGATATGAATACAGGACAGTGCTGAGCATGTGGTCTGCACAGCTTCTCCCTCCCAGGAGTCTGTGGTGAGTTGCCCACCCATACAGGTAGAACCTCTGCTTATCTTTATGTAGCTGGAAATTCAATTAGCAGAGCCTGCTGTACTGAAAAGAATTCAATGTGGAACAGCCTCAGAACTATTTGTTTATTAGGTTTGCACCTCTGCCTCATATCCTTTCTCATAACTCTTTTCCACATAGCGCTGTCCTGACATGCTTCTCACAACAGCAAATAATGACAGCATGGCCAGCCTGGTTAGAAGGATAAAAGCCAGCTCCAACCCCACTCACCTAAAGATAGACATGCAGTTCATTAAGATACTGCAAGTTAGAGAGCAGCTGTGGAAAAATATATTCCTTATGCCTTTGTTATACTGCTGGAGGGGCCCTAGTGTGCCATCAGTGTACTTTCTCAATTTTCTACATATATAACTTGTCACTCAGGTGATGTATTTAGAGATAAATTTCACATTGTGTCACAACTGCCTTTCTATCTGCAATAAACCTGAGAAATCAGACTAGGAACTGAGGAATTTCTTAAAAATAAATGCCTGGTTCCAGCATTTAAAATATACTATTTCTCAGTACAAATAAGAAAGTTAATGGTATCAGATGACTGGTTCAGAATGGCACAATTTTGGCCTTATGTGCTTTTCACTGAAAAGTGTCTCAAGGAGTTAAACATCTAGGGACATCAGCCTGCATGACCTACATTTCAGAGTACCTTGTCTGTCACAGGATAGATGACATAAGACAATTGGTGCAGCAGCAGTCCCAAGGATGGAAGATTTATTGAGTGTGTAGACAGCAACTGTTATGGACAAGTGCTGTAGGTTTGGATGCTCCTGCAAGCACTGATTTACAAGGGGGAGACTGCTGCTGCCAGCACACTGCATGTGCACCTGCTCCTTGCCATAAAGAGCTCACAGGCTAGGAGCAGGATTGTTTAGTGCCAGGATGGTATCACAACCAAAGCCTTCAAACTAGGTATCATCACAGAGTGACTGCAGTAATTACAGTAAGTAAATCTAGAAAATACTGTCATGAATAATACTCAATAAGGAATACTGAGTGGCAACTCTTAGTTTTTGCTTTCTTAATGGTTCTTGATGCCAGAACAGGTTTCTTGGTACCATGTATAAATTAACATTGTAGTAGAATTCCCACCTCTTTGCTACCGTGTAATTCTTGCCCATAACCTCACTGTTTTGTGTCATTTCTGGCGATCACTTACCTTTTTCCTAAAAGACCTAGTTTTGTTCTGATTAAATGGCCAAATGGAGAGACACGTGGAACTAGGTGAACTGTCAAACCCCTCTAAAACTTACAGCATGAAAGTATTCCCCAAATAAGCGCTTCCCTAGGAGGAAGAGACTTGACAGACAGCATGAACAACGGAATTCTTGAACGCTACCCAGTTGATGAGAATCTGGTTAGGGCTAACCTACATCATTTGGCATAATTGCAGTTATAAACACTTGAAGAAGCCTTGGAAGCACAAATGTCACTGAAGCTTATGTTATATTGGATCTCATTGCATTTGGCAGCTGTACAAAGCTGCGGAGCACGGAATTCGCTCAGATGGATCCTGAGTATACAAACACAGACCACAAGCTTTGAATGTTCAACACAATTTTGTTCTGTACAGACAAGCTACCACAAAGTCTCCCAAAGGCTTCTGTCCAGTCAACCAGCATGAAGTACCTTATCTAAAAAAATGCATTTTTCGAAAAGCTATACATCCTTCTATCAGATTTCATCAGATTATTCCTCCACCACGGACTATCACGGTACCTCTCATAATATAGAGTATATTTTGTAGGAAAACAAGAAAGTATCCTCATTCAAATTTTAAGATACATGTCTGGAATGCAAGAGAAATACTGATTTTTGTGCTGATGAGGGAAATTTAGATCAGTTGGTTTACTCTGCTCTTGTTTGAAAGTCAGAGAGACTTTCTCATTTTCTTTCTGACTCAATTCTCCACTTGCACTGCTGTATTTTCAAATTTATCTATAGCATAAATGTTATTAATAACATTTGTCTGACCAGAGAATCAGCAGAAGTCAAAGCATGCTTACAGATAAGAGACAGTGCTATAAATGTGCTATTGCTACATTTTAATTTTTTTACAAACTTCAAGATTACAATCAACACCAATACTTACAGTCTTGCTTATTTTCAGTTGTTCTGCTCACTGCATAATATGGAACAGAAATACTGGAACTTTCAAAATGTAATAAAAAAACCTATCCTTTTCAGGCATCTTCCAGAGCATTCACAGAACTGCATCCTTTCCCCAGATTAAGCTAGAGCTTTTGAAATAGAATTCATCAATTGATCATTCTCTTTAGTTTTCTTTTAGCTTACAACATACACCAGAGGCTGTGTACTGTGCTGTATGTTGAGAAACAATAGCATTTTAATTAGCAGGAGTATTACCAAAATCCTTTTTGAACATCAAACATTTAATTGTCTCTTTATTTATCACAAGGAAACAACTAATTAACTTTCACATCTGGGCAGTATTTTTTCTGAAGAAGATTTAAGCACATTCTACAGAATTTAGTTTCATCTCCCACAGCAGGTACAGTGCTATTAAATGGAGTCACAGACAGAAGACTTTTTTTTATTAGTTAAATTATTACATCCTACTATTGCACACCAAATGAGCCTCTAATGTACTTAGTGTGATAAAATGGCAGCAGTATACTGGAGAAGAAACCATTAATTGTCACAATCAGCGATCACTGAATATGTAGACACTACTGAGAAATGTTACTGAAAGGCTATCTAAAGCAATATGTTAGTTCTGCATTCAAAAAAAGGTACCAAAAAATCAGGTACAGATACAGCCATAGTGAAACATCCCCACCTTACCCTCATTCCGTGGCAAGATAATTGTTCAAATTGAGAGAAGAAATGAATAAAACTTCACCCTTAAGAGAACAGATTTGAAAGCTGGGATATCTATTCAGATAAGGTGTTCAAAGTCTGCTACGTGAGAGCTACCTTTTAAAGACAAATATCTGACTTATGTTCAAGTATAAGCACAAATTATAGTATGCTTTACTGATCACCATCCAAATGGTCTTTGCACAATTAATATATAGAGGTTAAACTGTACCACCAGTGTCCCAATATACTAAGTAATAACTCGTTAAGTCAAAGAAAAAAAATAAATAATTGGCTAGCAAAAAATACATTTGTAAACAAGGATGTTACAGAAGACATTAAATGCAAGGATAAAATTTCAGTAATGTCGAGCCTCAGCCTAAGGGCTTACATATCACTTAGGTTTTGTTGAGAAAAGACAGCTGCACCATATTTCACAGAAAAGGAGCACTCAACCAGATGCATACAGTCAAAACTGGAGAGGAGAAAACGTGACTATTCAAACTATTTAGCTATTGAATTTTCTCCAGGAGCTAAATCTAGTATTTGTTTTCAGAAAATACTGTAATCTCATTTTATTTGTCCTAAGGAACTGATGTGACAGTACCTGATGTGCTAACTATCTTAGTTCTTACCTTTAGAAAGTCTCACCTTCTTTTAAAATATCAAACAACAAATCTTCAGTTTCTAGCCACTGAAACCTGTTTTGTCTTCAGGATAACCTGTCTCCTGTGAAAATGCTGATGTGCTTTTGAGTCACCCTGCCACATCCTCTTAGCTAAACTGAATAGCTCTGTAAGCATTAAATCATGAAGCATGTTCCAGCCTCAGAACTAGCGGAACTTTTTCTTACAGTTCTCCCTTATATTTCTAAATCATCTGTGAAGTGTGGGATCCAAGCCTGGACTCAGTGTCTCACCATTGCCATCACTGTGAAATCACTTCTCAGATTTTACATGCACCTTTTTTTTTAAAATTTTTTTTTTTAAGCAACAAAAAAAGAAAGAAAGAAAAAAACAGAATTGCAAAATTTTCTCTTCACAAGATGATCAACTGCAACCTACTCTCTCCTGAGGAGTTGCTACTTCCAAAAAAAACATAAACATTTGAAAGCTTTACTTTTCCCCTTCTTAAAATAGGTTAGCTTGCATTTGACTTTACAAAATCACTTATTTTTAGATTGGGATCATTCTATAACAGTAACCATCTTAGAAGTTTATTAGTAAATAATCCACTGACTTCTCTAGGAATATAATATAAGTTTTGTATGCTATTGAGAGAGTTAACATAGAAATTAAACATAAACGTAGCTTGCCCACACTATGCCAAAAAACCCAACCAAACAAGGATGCTTCTGGTTTGTTGGTAAACTGATTACTCACACTTCACATACAGAAACACAGTTTTCTGAACCTTCTGTAATGTTTGCTGAATAAGAATTACCTGAGTAAACTGCCAGTAAAGCTTCATTCTCTTGGCTTTGGCGTAATTGCATTCAATGAGCCTGGGCCTG